CTACCACTGCAAAAGAAATTGCACAGACTGCCAGTGTTCCCTTCCTCGGATCTACTTCGGCATTGACTTTGGCAATTGTGAAATGTGTTGAGGCAAGTCTTTGAGAGAATATCTTCAGACTGCAGTGGCTTAAACATTTCAAACAGAGAGTCCATTCAAACAAGGATGAATGTTTCGAAATGGTTGCACAAATACACGAAATTCTCTGCACCATTTTGAAACTATATTCTGTGTCCGAAACCCAAGGGGTGCTTGCGACGGCATTGTTGTATGACATTGCAAATTTCACGGAGTAAGCAGAACTTTACATATCTCCTTGAAGCACCTGCATTGAGGCACTACAATAGAGCACTCGAAAAAGTGCTTACATTTCTGAAAAGCCAGGGAAGGATGGGAAAAATCAAGCAGGTGATCAGACAGCTGGACAATGGCGCAAAGTTGAAGGAATGCAGCAATGAACTCAGTCGTGCCCAGGAAACATTTGCGGTATTTTAACTTTTGACTTGTTTTTGTGTATCTCTATTTGATTTCAGGTTCAAGCCATGGGTTCAACATTTTCCCATCTGACACAAGTGAAAAAGGATGCAAAGCAGCAGCATGAAGAGCTTGTGGCCCTCCTGAAAGCTCATCCTGAACTGACAAATTCTGATGGTTCAACTGTGAGGACACCTTTGTCTCCTGCTTCTCCCAACTTAGGCTTCTTAGGTTTCAGAACCTCTGTCGACTTTTGGAGACAGGTGGGCAGAATTCTTAGTACTATGAATGTTGCTGAACATTGTATATACAGCTCTGAATCTTTGTCTATGCTCCCCCCTCCACCGCAAATCTTCCACGGCCGTGAATTTGAGCTTCAGAAGGTCGTGAATATTCTTATACAGGACTCCGCTCGCATTGCCATCCTGGGCCCTGGGGGCATGGGGAAGACTAGTCTTGCCACAGCAGCTCTCCATGCAGGTCCAATTGTCGAAAAATATTCACACCAATATTTTGTTCAATGCCACTCTGCCCCAACATGTGTTGAGCTCGTGTCAGCTGTTGCAAATCATGTTGGAGTCGAGAAGGGATCTAATCTGCTGAAGAAAGTAGCCCAACACTTCATGCATGCTCCTCCTTCTCTTCTGGTGTTGGATAATCTGGAGACCTCTTGGGAATCGGTCTCATCAAGGAAGGAAGTTGAGGAATTCCTTTCTCTCCTGACAGATGTTCCCCAGTTGGGGGCTCATGGTGTGTGACAATTTCACTGAAGGGATTCATAACTCAACTAACTCATAGATCACCATGCGTGGTACTGAACGTCCAGCAAACATCAAATGGACTCACCCATTTTTGACACCTCTCCAGCCACTTCCTAGCTCCGCAGCACTCGAGGCATTTAGTGACGTTGCAGACAACATCCATGAGGAGGACAAAGTCAAGCAACTACTTGAACTCACAGGGAATATGCCCCTAGCAGTCAGCCTCATGGCAAGTGTGGCCGCTCATGAAAGCTGTGACAAGGCATTGTCTCGATGGGAAAAGGAGAGTACACGCATGCTTTCAGATGGATATGACAAAAGATCCAGCCTGGACATATCAATCATGTTGTCATTCACAAGTTCTCGCATGACATCAGGAGCTCAGGACCTGCTCAGCATTCTGTCAATGCTTCCTGATGGGTTCACAGATGCTGACTTGCTGCAAGCTGAATTGCCTATCACAAATATCCTTGAAAGCAAGAGCACTCTGCTTGGGACAGCCCTTGCATTTGTTGATAAAGAAAAACAAATCCGAGTCCTTGTCCCTATCCGAGAGCACATTCTCCATTCCCACCCCCCAACAAGTGCACTGAAGCTGAAACTTCGCAAGCACTTTCATAATCTTCTTTCTCTCTGGAAACATCACTGGGATCTTAATGGAGCAATTATAGTGCCACAACTTTCAAGGAATGTAGGCAATATAAACAGTGTTCTTCGGGATTCTCTCACCACAGAGTGTCCAGATGTGATTGAGAACTACCAGAGCATTCTCAATTTAAACGACTTTCATAGGAGAGCATGGGGCACATATTCACCCTTGCTGCTGAAAATATCTGAACATGATTACTTTTGGAAAGGCAACCCAAACTTCGGGGACTACCTGATTAAAATTGTCGAAACTGCTCAATATGTGGTTCTCATTGATACTGAAGCAAAAATCCAGCTGGGGAACAAATATTTTGAGTCCAGGGATCCACTGAAACAAGGTAGGATAGAATTTGTGGATTGTGTTGCTTTAGCCTCATTTTACACTAGCTGAATGGTATTTTGCACTTGGAGTATATTGGAATTTTGCCCAATCCAAGATGCTTGGCAGTGTTGAATATTATCAAAAAGCGGTTCATGTGGCAGACAGTACTGGATCCCCTAGTAGAGTTGGGTGCCGGGCTCTGTGTATGATAGCTCAGATCCTGAACACTGCAGGAGATCTCGACGGTGCTCAGAAACATGCAATGAGAGCACACAAATATGCAGAGGCCCTCGGCAGTATCTATCCACAAGCATACACTTTGTATGTCCAAGCTCAATGTCAGATCATGTCTGCAAACTTTTCAGCTCAAATACTCCTCAAAGAAGCCACACAGCTTCTGATTTCTCGTGGTCTTGAAGGATGTACACTGTATTTAAATCTCCAAAATTGGATTGCAGAGGTACATCTTCTGAAAACAGAATATCTAGAGTCGCGACACATTCAGGCCTCCATTGCAGCCACTAGCAAACCAACAACACAGGATTCAATTCTAGCAAATCTGAATATTGCTCTTATTGACATTAATTGTGGAATGGGCTCAGAATCTATTAGGAGAAATCTGGATCAATGTCAGCTGCACTGCAGGTCATTTTATGGCTTTACAAAAACCGAGCTAGAAATTATAACAGATCACCGGTTGGCGGAGCTTAATCTTAGAGATGGTGACCTCAGCATTGCAGGTATGATGTTCACAAGATGTTTTGCTTCATCACAAAAGATTTCAATGATAATGGCAAATGCTTGCCTTGAAAAACTTGCGGATCTTTCTACAGGAATGAACAACATACACACCACCATGAATTGGGCAGGGATATTCCTTGTACTAGCATTGAGATCAAAAGACAGGCTGGCCACTATGAAGGCATTCCGCTGTATTGGCCAGATTTTGTTGTGCAAGGAGAGGATGAAACAGCACTGAGCCTGTTTACCATAGCTTTGGATGGATTTGCATTCATGGATGTCCATCGGTGGAAGGCTGATTGTATGGCTCGAATTGCTGATATCTGGAAAAGTGGTGGAGAAGTCTTGAGGGCAGTTGGGTTATGGAAGGCAGCAAGGCCTTTGTTTGAAAGGTCCTCACAGGCCAAGGATGTGGCTCGAATTGATTCAAAACTAGCCACAGTGGAGACTTCAATTTTGGAACAGTATGAGAGACAGCTTCTCCAACTTGCAGATCTGAATGTTCCCACTGGGTTCTCAACAGGGACCTATTTTGAAAAGGGCCAAGACCCAACATCTGAAGAAGAGGATCGAGAAATTGTGTACAGAGAACAGAAGAGCCGCAAGCTCGAAGTATGATCTTCGGGACAGTGGTTCAACTTCTGCCGCAAATCTCATTTTATTGTGCCTATCAAACTTACAATACTTTTTCTTATGTGCGCTGACAGCAGTGCTCAGTCCCTGTGTACCATTTTGTAGCCTCAGACTGAGCTGAATATATCATCATTCTACTTATAAACAGGTTACATGTTAGGCCTCAAAGGATTATGGGTGGCCCTGCAGTGTGAAACTTGGCACACTGGTTGAGCAATTCAATTTTTTCAGTCAAAGTCTTGGTGAAAAACTTCTTTCCTTTTTCACACTTTTTTTTGCCAACAATGTATCTGAAGAATTTATACAACTTTTTTAGTACCTTGATGACTTCGGCTAGACTCGTAACCAGTCTGTAACCAATCGCCGAAAAATGTGGCAAGCACTTTCGGTGGTTATGAACAACTCATGCCATATGTTGTTGGGTGGGTTCGACCCCCTTCCCTCCCGTGGTTGCTTTCAGCATTGCACCTCACCTAGCAGGTGGGAGTGGGTTACACTACTTCACAAAGACGATACCAGCTCACCTCGTACCTCGGCCACACCACATCCACAATTTTATTTTATGTGGATAGGGAACAAACTTGAACCGTGTCATGGCAATGGCTTCGAAGTTCGGTCGGATCCCTTAAGAGTTGTCTCCAGGAATAATAAAAATTGGCCACCGCTTGAACTCAAGGCTTCAATCCTTCCCATGCTCATTTGCCTACCAGGGCAAAAAAAAAGCCAGTTTTCAACCAAAGTCAATGTCTTCAGGTGGATTCGAACCACCGCCTTGCCCGCCCTGGGTTGAAAATGCTAAACAAGCAAGTGGGAGTGAGTCGCACTACTCCATGAAGACGATATGAACTCACCCCATAACTTTAATATACTCCGAGGAAAGAAGCTGTGAATGTTTTCGACTGGGTTCAACAAGGGTTTCGAGTTCGAACTGCCGGTCGAATCAAAAAATAAAAATAAAAATAGCTTCCAATTGAATGTCTTCAGGTGGCTTCGAACCACCGACTCTCCCGGTATGGGTTGAACGTGCTGACCGAACTGGGAGCAAGTTGCATTACTGCACGAAGACGATATGAGCTTACCTCGGGATAAATACCATCCTATTTCATTTGCTGGTTGGAAAAAAAGAAAATCCCCTGCTGTATATCTTCGGGTGGATTCGAACCACCGACTCTCCCGGTATGGATACCCGCTGGCTAGCGAGTGGGAGTGAGTTGCATTACTCCACGAAGACGATATCATCCTACCTTGCACCTCGGATACCCGCAATGTTGTTTTGGCTTCATGTGGATTCATGTCGCCAGGAATATGAATAGGAATTCCAAAAATTGGGCACAGCTCTGTCCCGAACATATTCCCACCCTCATTTGCCGGTAGGGGTCAAAACGGGGCGGGGAAAAAAGAGTAAGCTTCCAATTGAAGAATGTCTTCGGGTGGATTCGAACCACCGACTCTCCCATGTGGGTTGAAGGCCACTGACATTCGGATTCAGTAAGCGGGAGTGAGTTACATTACTCCACGAAGACGATATTAGCTTACTTTCTATCTCGGATACACAGACAATTATTTTCTGCTGGGAGGGAGTAAAAACGGATTCGAGTATGTAATATTACTACCCCAGGTTTGACTGTGTTTGGTCCCTCTATCCGACGCGACTGGTCACGTGTCCCCGCTACCTGTTTTAAATTTCTCCTCCTCCTCTGGCACGCTAATCAAGCTTGCGCGTGCGACGCCGCCCGGGGTCTTCGACGCACATCGCGATCTTGTCTCATCCGCCGCGTCCAGCGTACAAGCGGGCTCGACGCGGTCAGTCTCGCAGGTGCGCATGGGGTCTTCATTTTATTCTACAACTAAAACGTCCCAGGTCGAAATCCTAAGTTGCCGCTTCGACCCAACCGGCCAAAATATCGCTGCTGCAGTATCTCTCTTGAGCTCTGGCGTACCTATACGGTATGCCCGCGTTTTTGCGGGGACCTTTATGGGAGCTAGCCCGCCCTCTTTTGCTGGATTGGCCCGCCGTTTTTCGGTGCTGCGGCTTTCCCTCCTGCGATCCACCCGCGCCACGCTTACTGACGCCCTCCCAGGCTTCGAATTCAGGATGATCCGCGTGAACCTCAACAAGGCCGAAGCCAAGGCGGTGGACCAGGACGGACCCAGGCGACGATTGTTAGGTGCGTGTCTGCTTCGTCTTGTCTTGATCCCTCTCTCCTTTCTCCCATTCGTCGTATACCGTCTTCCCGCTCGTGGTATACTTCCTCCCACTCATCGTATACCCCTCCTCCGTAGTCTATCTTCCCTTTCTGCTCGTTTCTTCCCCCTGTTTTACCTTCGCCTTTCACTCCTTACTGCTTCGTGGGCCTATATCGACGCTGCGTCCGTCCCGCAACACGCCCTATGTCATACGCTTCCCCTATATCCTTATTCTCGCTTCCTCCTTGTCGCGTCCCGCCCCGCCCTCCTCTTCATGCACCCCGTCTCGCAGCTTTGTCACACCGCGCCCGCCACCTTTCCTTCCCATGCTCCTCCGCGTCCCTTTCTCCCGCTTCCCGCACCAACGCTAACGCCTCTACAGAATAACGAAGGCGCGCAAGACGCTGAAGAACCAGGCGCTCATCGAGGTGATCGCGCAGATCGCGCCCAAGGTTCTATTCAGAAGGTGTGTGGGCATTTCCTTTCGGTGTGATTTGGGAGGGTGCGGTGGTGGTTTGAGGGCGTGCGAGGCAGGGCGGGATGCGGGCTTTGTGGGCCGCGCGTGCGCTGTCGCGTCTTAGCGGAGTATACGCCCCTGCGCGTGTCCTGTGCGCGCCGTGTCTGCTGCGCGCGCCGCGCCTCCCCGCGTCGTTTCACGCGACGCGGGTATACGCCGACGCGCCCCGTTTCTCGTTCCTTGCGTTCCGTGTGCCCCTTTTGGGAGGGTGGGGTGGTGGCGGGTGGTTTGGGGCGATTTTTTTTTTTACCGGGGGTGGGGGCGATTGTGGAGAACGTGGGCGAGCGGGTCTGGGAGGCGGCTTTGGAAACCCGCGCGTTGTCCTGTTGTCGGCGTCGCGCCTTTGCGGTGAACGTCCTCTGCGCGCCCCATCTGCTGCGAGCCCGCGTCGTTTTGTGCGACGCGGCTGTGGCTCCGTATACGTGACACGTGCGGGTCATGCCGCCGTGGGCTGCGTCGCTGGGGGCCCGCGTCGTTTTGTGCGTCACAGCCCCCTTTCTGACGTTCTTTGCGCGCCGCACGCGGGTCGTGCCCGCGCCTCCCCGCGTCGCGCTGTGTCGCAGGGGCCCGCGTCGTTTCGTGCGATGCGGGCGTGGCACCGTATACGCCGGCCGACATCTCCTTTGCGCGCCGCTCACGGGGCATGCCCGTGGCACTCTGTGCTGTGTGCTGCATCCAGGCGCGAGCGTGCCTGTCCTCCGCGCGCCGTGTCGTCGACGAGACGAACGTGTGCGCGGCGGGGGAGGGGGGACGCCCGGGCTGTTCCGCGATGTCATCTACGCTGCGTGTGTCCCGCGCGCTGTTGCGTCGGCGTCGCGTTGCGCGTTTAGCGTGCTTGCGCGTGCCTTATCGGATGGGCGTGCGCGGGAGCTTCTCCGCGTCTTGGGTAGCGGAAAGCACCCGGGCGGGCGTACCGCCGTATCCGCCATGCTTTGCGTGCCGTCGGCAACGTCGTCAGTGCAGACCGCACCGTCGTCCATGTGGGCGGGCAGGCGGGCAGGCTACATACGCTCTTCTCGGCGAGCGCCGTGTTGGCGGTCTGTAGCGCGCGGCGGATGTGGATGTGCCTGATGTTGTCGACGTGGACGACGGGCTGCGCCCGGCGGATGTAGATGCAGGTGACGCTCTCGACGTGGATGTGTCCTGCGTGTGCCCGCCGCGAACGTCACCACGCCCCCTTTGCCGCCTACGCTCCACGCCTTCGGCTCTCGTGTCCCGCGCCTGCGCGCTTCATAAGCCGTTCTTCAGCCATCATCTAGAGCGCCCAGTTTCTTTCCTTTCCCTCCTCTGCATCACTTTCCCTCTCCTCGTCTTACATCTCGCTCTCCTTGTCGTATCGCTCTCCCCCTTACACACACACTCGGCCGCTTTGTTATGCTACTTAGTTACCTACCGACCCACTACATGCACGAGAATAAAGAGTGAAGAATGGCTGTTCATTGTACATGTACTTGTCGACGAGGTGCACATGGCGCTGATAAATAAGAGCGGGTGGCGGTGCATGAGGTTTTTATGGCCGTGACGCCAACCTGGTTTCCCTCCGCCTCCGAGTCACTGGCTTCGCCACCTACTGTCGTCTCAAGTATACATCCCAAATCTCTCCTCCTACCAACTGCGCTATCGCACCACCGAAGTCTCATGTTGTAGCATCGCTGCCTGGCACCTCGAGATTGGTGAGTGAATATGCCTCCAATCCCATCCAGAAGATGAGACTTCGAGACATTTGCACGTCAGTCGGAATGGTCTGTGCTAGCACTAACCAGTTAGGTCGTCAACTACGCATGACTGATTATTATTTTTTCGCGTTATTCTGAATGTCTACCATTCATATAATACATGCTCAACGATGTTTTTTTTTCCAGACGTCGACAATACACCGCCCATTTGGGGGACCAGGAGTCCAGGACGTACCTTTTTTCTTCTTTCTCATTCGTGCCGCGCTTTTTTTTGGGGGGGGGTGTACCCGCGGGTTTTTTGAGGGCCGTCTTTTGGGGGCTGGCCCGCCGTGTTTCGGGCTGCGTCGCGATGTCCTGCGATCCACCTGCGCCACGCTTACTGACTCCCACCACACCGTGCGTGCGGAGCTGACCTGAATCCGGGTGGGTGTTTTTTCTTCTGTGATTATCGTGCCTAGGGCTGTTTTTTTTTTTTTGAGGGCTGGCCCACCATTTTTCGGGCTGCGTCGCACCGTCCTGCCAGCCACCCGCGTCACGCTTACTGACGCTCTCCCAGGCGTCAAATCCAAGAAGATCCGCGTGAACCTCTTTTCTTTTTGGGGGGTATTGCGGCGGGGAGGCGTTTTCGTTGACGGCCGCGTTTGGTGCGGAAGGGGGGTGCGCGCGCTGTCGCGTCGGCGTCGCGTTGCGCGCTCGGCGTAGCTGCGCGTTATGAACGTGTATGTGCGCCGTATCGGCTGAGCCTGCGCGCGAGCTTCTCCGCGTCGCTACGGGGGCACGGGGTCCCGCGTCGCTGCTTGCAACACGGCGGCCCCGTATACGCCGGCGCCCCCCGCTTCTGGTTTTCTGTGCACGCCGCGTGTGGTGCCGCCGTGGGCCGGGTGCTCCACGCCTCCCCGCGGCGCTCCGTGTCATGGGAGCCATACGCCGCCACCTGGCGTTCTTTGCGCGCCTCCGTAGGTTGCGCACGCTCGGGGTCATATGCGCTGCGACGGCCAGGGGCGCCCGCGACGTTCGTGCCTCTCCTCCCCGCGTGTCTTCCGCGCATGGACTGTGTCAACGAGACGAACGCCGCAGTCGTCGACGTGACAAACGTACGCGCGTTCAGGCAGTTCCGCGGGGTCATATGTGCTTCGCGTATCCCGCGCGTGTGGTGCCGCCGTGGGTTGCGTTGATGAGGCGAACGCCGCAGTCGTCGACGAGACATGCGCGCGCGCGGCGGGGGGAGGAGTGACGCGCGCGCTGTTCCGCGGGGCTATGTACGCCGTGCGCAGTTTATGTGGCGGTTGGTCTCGCCGGCGTGGATGCGTGTGCCCTGGGCGGCGTAGCCGACGTGCTCTGCGCGCCGTAGGCGACGTCATCCGCACAGACGTAGGCAACTTCGTCAAAGAGACGCTGACAACGTCCTCTGCGAGCCGTGGACGTAGCGGGCAGACGGGCAGGCGCCATACGCTCCGCTCCATGGCACACGCCTTCGCCTTGTGTGCTGACTAGGTTCTTGTTCTGCACCTTCGCCTAGTCGGTAGTTATGGATGACTCCGTTACGCAAGCGCGTTTGTGCGTTCTGCGGCGCGAGTCGGGGCCGACATGCATCCGCGAGCTGTAACGCGCTGTGGACGTACCTGACGTCGTTTAGGTAGACGTGTGGGCAGGAAGGGGTTCGCACCTTCGCCTTTGAGCCCTGTGGGAGGCTTCGCTAGGCAAGCGCGTTTGTGCGGGCGACGTGCACGCAGGTGACCCTGTCGACATGGACATACCCTGGCAAGCACGCATTTTGTCCGAGGGCGTCTTTCATTCCAATTGTGCGGCCGCGCTCCGCGCTTCTCGAAACGTGTTTTGCAAGCTGGGTGCTCCGCGCACCGACGTGCTCCGCGCACCGTTCGTGCTGCGCGCACCGTTTGTGCTGCGCCAGAGCGCGCGCGTCGTGGGTGGGGTGCGAGCTCATCCAAGCGTGCCCGCGGAACGCGCTGCCCTTTGTGCCTTTATAGGCCCGTTCATTATCTACCAGCTACCCCTTCCCTCCCCCTATTCCCATCCCCCTTCTTTCCCCTTCCGGCCGCTAACGCTAACGCTCCGAATGAGTACGCTTACCGACGTAGCACCTCGGAGGCGACCGAGACGCCCCTGGAGAAGGAGTGCATCG